ATCTATCTATCTATGCTTTGATCCTTTAAATTACTTTAATTGCTGTAATCTGTGACCTATAGATCATTCTCAGTCATTTTACATATCCATTTTTATCATCATAACTTTGAGGAAATTAACTTTTTACCATCTATTTGCAATATGCCGTCACATCTTTTACTAATTAGATTAGTAAAGTGAACGAAAACACAACCGTTAATTGATTCATTGCATTAGCTGTTATCTCAACTGTGTGTTTAAGCAATTGCTCGCCGCTATCTTGCGTTGTCCATATGTGCCTTTTGTCAGTTTGCTGGCCCTATAGGAGGTCGGAGTGACGCAGTCTCGCAAATTTGCTCCTCCAAACGGAGCGACGAAGTCCATCAAGTCCCCATTAGGACCTCATTAAACTCGCTTAGTGAGATATTTTGCACCCTTCTTAACGGGCTGAAGTGTGAACGCGTGCGTTTAGACAAACAGCGCGAGACGCGCTCGAACTGACCGCGGATCGACTTTAGTTGTTAAGCTGTTGGTGACGTTAAGAGCTGTTTTCAGATCAGTTTCTGAAGGCAATACTTAAAGGAGCCATAGACAGCAGAGACGAGACATTAGAGAATCTAAATAAGAGGTAGGCACGTCATTTAAAGAGAATTCAATAGAAAAAGGTTATTTTAAGATAAAGATTTTAAACACTGAATTAGGCAAATAATGACTTTAAATGTTAACAATCTGTTTTATGCAATCTCAAGCTAAATTAAAAATAATAGGTAGGCTATAGGTCTGTTGAGTTATGCCAGAGTTTATAGCCTATAAACCCATGCCAAATACATGGTGTTTATTATAATAAAAGAGAGAGAATTTCTACAAACGTTTTGTTTTTGCACATGTCGGTTGCTGTACAAAATCAAAATGGTAACGGGTAATAGCCTAAATAAGCGGCTAAAATAGCCTGGTGTTTTTATTGATTCGTTTTATTTACATAATTGTATCATTTTAAGGGGGACAGAACTTAAAAATCTAAAAAAA